GACCAAGGGAGAGCAATATCCGGTCTGTGAGCTTCTTAAATACTGGGGCTGCTTGTGTACTTAGTGCATTTGTTTTGTTATATTGTTTTCTTTGTTTGTTCTCCCCTGAGATAATAAATGTTAAATGTGAACAGTACAAACATATACAGTTTAGCAATGAAAATTCTCCTTAATCCTCCCACCACAACCTCACCCCCACCTCCAGAGGTAACCATTGTTAACATTTTGGGGTTTATTCTTAAAGATTTTTTTTCCTATTCATTCACTACATTCAGTTAAATTCTGATCTGAGTAAATAGCAATTCACATAATGTTTTCAATTAAGTAAACTTGCTTTGATTTATTTTGTTTCTGATCAAATTGATACATTATTAAGAATTTTAATAACACGGATTCAGAGTGTTTGTTCTGCTCTTATAAGCTTCCGTGTTTCATTGTCACTGCTCTCACTATACAGATCAGAATGGTGTGCTCTGTGCAGCTCCACCTGGCATGCCGTATGCTGTGAGGGGGCAGGCGGAGTCAAAGGAATTTTGCTGAGGAAAACAGAGGGGCACAGAATTGCAATAATGGCCCTGGAGGCTTTCATGTCTAAAGGCTATGCTTTAAAAATATGTATTTCAGGGACCGACCCCATAGCTTAGCGGTTAAGTGTGCACACTCCGCTACTCGCGGCTGGGGTTCGGATCCCGGGCGCGCACCAATGCACTGCTTCTCCAGCCATGCTGAGGCCACGTCCCACATACAGCAACTAGAAGGATGTACAACTATGACATACAACTGTCTACTGGGGCTTTGGGGGAAAAAAAAAGGAGAGGATTGGCAATAGATGTTAGCTCAGAGCCGGTCTTCCTCAGCAATAAGAGGAGGATTAGCACGGACGTTAGCTCAGGGCTGATCTTCCTCACAAAAAAATTAAAAAATAAAAATATGTATTTCAGAGGTATATATATCAAGAATACAGTTCACAATTTTTTTTTTTTTTACAAGAACTGACAACACAGAAATTGGTAGATTTCTGAATAGATGTTCTTAAATAAATAGATTATACCTAACGTGTTCTTTTTTTTTTACAATTTTATTTATTTATTTATTTTTCCCTCAAAGCCCCAGTAGATAGTTCTATGTCGTAGTTGCACATCCTTCTAGTTGCTGTATGTGGGACACGGCCTCAGCATGGCCGGACAAGCGGTGCCTCGGTGCACGCCCGGGATCCAAACCCAGGCCGCCAGCAGTGGAGCGCGCACACTTAACCGCTATGCCACGGGGCCGGCCTAACATGTTCTTAATAATGGTTAATATTGATGCTAATTTAAAAGCTGCACTACATTACTAATTGTTTTAAAATCACACAGGGATACTTTGGAGCAGTTGGTGCACTTCTTGGGCTGCCAAATTTCAGCTAAAGCATCAGGTTTCTCTCTGTTAGTAAATGTCATCCAAGAAGAACTGAAAACCGGAGGCATTATTACTGCATCATTTGTAACTGGGAACCAAAGGATAAAAGAGTAGCACTATTCCTGTTGATTTTTAAATGTCAAAATAGTAAGCTGCTAAATGTTGCCATATTCAGAGAGAGCTCTGTAACCTGTGAAGTATTTCTAGTTGAAATGCTTTCCCTTCTGTATATAGCCAGTGGTAAATCTTTAAATGCAATACAGCCTCTGATTATTGAGCTTCCTCTCAAAAAGATTTTCTATTTATTTTATGTAGCCAACATTGCAGTACTGTATTCTCAAACACGAATCTTAAAGTCTCAGAAATGTTTAGCTCATGGAAATAATTGATTCTCTATATTTGTTACAAGTCTGTTCCATGTATGTTTTGGTTACTAATAAGTGGACAGTAACATACCCTGTATCAAAACTGATTGAAATGGCAATCAAAGATGATCATTTTTATGTGATTTTAGAAATTTTAAGGCAATATTAATTATTCATTCTTGTGGTTTTCCTACCATATCCCCCCAAAAAGCATGTTTATGTGATCTTTCTCCAGAGGTATAACCCTTTTCAAATGCTGTAATTTAATTGAAATACTGTTAAATATTAGCCTGAATTTTAAAAGGACTCCTAGAAGATGCACATAATTGGTGACATTGTACTTCTTTATTTTGTGAGTTAATCAATGTATTTAAAAATGTTTAATATTTTTCAGTTGGAGGCTTAATTACTTATTTGAAAGTCTATTGAGTGAGGTCCAAGACTATTCAATGGAATATGGTTTGCGTGCATTTTAGGAGTTCCGTGTTCTTGCTATATGACATTTATCTCAGACCCAGACTTAGTCATTTCTGTTTAACTAGGTCTAAACCATTAAAGCTAAAGACTTTATTCTATTATGAGCAGCAGCAAAATCACATTTATTCTAAATGGATGTTATGGAAATCTGAAAGATGAGTTTTGAAACTTTGTGGGAGTCTGAGGCAGTATTGCAGAATTATAAAAGGATCAGTGTTTCATACATTCTGGTAATAAAAGCATTATAGTTCCAAAATTTGTAAATCCTTTTGCCTTGGAATTTGTTCTCTATTTTGAAGTCATTTTGTGTGTTATAAATTTTTTTCAGATTTTTACTTTGGCAGTAATATTTTGGAGGTCCAGTAGTTCAGTGAAGTTGTTTAAGACTGTTGCTTATGGTTTAGGAAGTAGAAAGACTTGGGAAAAAATATTCTCCTCCTTAAATCTGGATGTACTTTGAAGAGCTTAAAATTTATTTACATTACAGGAATAAGGGAATATTGCATGTGTTTTTACAGATGCTCCATAGAGAACAGTTTTCAGTAGACTATCAAGAGGTGCTTGATAAAGATGTTTCTCCTTGTAGTTTTCAAATTTTGTGCTCAAATACTTAAAATTCAGTTTTATCTAAACACATGAAAATATGAATAATAGGGGTGAATATTTAGAGGGAAAAGCACGTGAAGGTAAGCTTTTAGAATTTAGAATATTTGGAGCTTTGAATTCATGTCAGTCAGTCATTTTGAAAACCTACAATGACTAAATGTTTGTTACTTTAATGTTTTCCATTGTAGTGACTAGATATTTCAGCCAAAAGCCATCTGTTCAATTTATTTTGAAATTCTGTGGTTTGGGGATTTGTACAAAAAGTTTTTATTTTTAAATAATAACTTAAAGTTGTATACCTGTGGCAAACTACATCAGCAGCTATAGGTTTGGGGCTGCCTTTAAGAAAGAAATGGAGGGCCAGCCCCGTAGCTTGGTGGTTAAGTGCGTGCGCTCTGATGCTGGCGGCCCGGGTTCGGATCCCGGGCGCGCACTGACGCACTGCTTCTCTGGCCACGCTGAGGCCGCGTCCCACATACAGCAACTAGAAGGATGTGCAACTATGACATACAGCTGTCTACTGGGGCTTTGGGGGGAAAATAAATAAATAAATAAAATTTTAAAAAAAGAACCAATTGTTCTAAAAAAAAAAAAAGAAAGAAAGAAATGGAATGGTCAGAGTCTATATAAGTTAATTTGATCAATACTTCAGTTAATTTTTGGGACTGTGAGTCATACTTTTTGTCCTTTGAAATGGAAGTTAGCTGCTAAAATGCTTATAAAGTGAACAGCCATCTCACACTCTTGGCTTTTCTTGCGTATAATCTAGAATTTCTGGAGTAATAAGTAAGAACACAGAATTGTGATGCAGGCTGCCAAGATTCTAGTGTTTGATTATGATCTTAAGAAAATCCTTGTAAGCATACAGAGGTAAATATGTTTGGTTTTAATCCAAATCAACATAATGCCTGAAAGCTCCATGTTCTTGAACAGTGCTGGCTTAATGGAAGTAAAATATGAGCCACATGTAATTTTACATTTTCGAGTAGGCACATTTAAAAAGTAAAAAGAAACAGGTGAAATTCATGTTAATTATATATTTCTATTTAACCCAGTATATCTGATATGTTATTATTTCAACATGTAATCAATATAAAAAGTTATGACATATTTTACTTTTTTTTTGGACTTAGTCTTCAAAACCAGTGTATATTTTACTGTTACAGCAGATCTCAATTTAGACTAAACACATTTCAAGTTCTCGGTAGCCACATTTGTATAGTGACAACTGTATTAGTGCAGTTCTAGAACTAGCTCTTAAAAATGAACACTATTATGTATCCATTAAAACGTTATGAATATGGGCTTTTTAAAGAATGTTTGGGAGGGGGAAATATGGGAACTTTATTTTTTAAATACAGAAAGGGGAATAAGAATTAACTCATTTGGGCTAGTTTATTTTACACCGACAAGCGGTATTTCTGACCGTTGCAAAAATTTCTTACATTGCATCCTGCCATCTCATCTTTGTGTGTATCATATTTCCAATGATACTGATAAAGTTTCCTAAGACACATCCCTGACTGTCCTGAACAGTCTCCAAAATGTATATATCTCCTTCACTGAAGCAAATTTAATGATTCCGATGACTTAAATTCCACTCCGCCGCCCCCCCACCCCCACCATCTAATTGAACTTTGAGGAGCCAATTTTAAAAGATTGAAAAGAGAGCCCTTTCATTCTTCATTGCGTTCTGTACACACAAGAGAATCTTCTTTATAACTTTTGGATTTAATTTACATTCTTAAAAACTCTGATAATATTTTCAAATGAAGGAGCACTAATCAATTTGTTTTGGGGCTCGGTAAAGAACACAAGGTCTAGAACTTTCCACCACCACTACCACCCCCCAAAAAGGATTGCCTTTTAACTAGAGACTTTTAGAATGAATGGCCTTCAGTTATACACCGCCATTTCTCCGAAGGCAAAGCGTTAGTCAACTTGCTTGCCTGTCGATGTGGGCATTCCTTGCTTAGCTATTCTAATTTAAATAGGTGAATCCTTAGTTTAGGTCAAGTCAGTGCCATTGCCAATAATATACTGGTAGTTGACAGTACTCCAGGAGGTTCAGATTATTTATCAAATATTCGACTCTATAAAGATTCCTGAGTTTTTTACCTTTGCGTGAAAATGTGATTGCTGTATTGTAAGTACCAGCAGCTGAAAGGGAAAAGGTTTTCCTCTATGTTTAGCAGTACTTTTGCCTTCTAAGAGCAGTCCATCACATCTTGTCTTGATTTCTAAGGTTGCATTCTTGGGTGGAAAGCTTAGTAAGGCATTAGTTTCCAATGGTCCTTTATAACCACTCAGCTTGTTAATATGCAAAAATTTTCACAATTTGTTTAGTGTATTTTTTTCTGTTGAGCACTTTATGCTTTTTAGTCTATATTGCATTTGAGAATGTAGTTTAGAAATTCTTTCTCCTTTAAAGCTATGTAAAAAACTGATAAAGGATAATCACCAGAAAAATGGGTGCATTATTTTGCATTTAACTTACTGTTTTGTGGTATATAGAAACAAAATTTTAGAACTATATTGCCTTTTTGTATTATTACTTACAAGATATTATTTACAAAATACTTTGACCTTATTTAAGAGGATTTGCCTTGAAATGTCAATGATGTCCTGTTTTCCCGATAAGTTTGTTTAGTGTTTTATTCTGCTACCGAAGGAGTTCAGCCAACTTTGTTTCTATTATCAGATAATCTCAGAAAAGAATGTGCTTTATATTACTGCCTATTTTCAATATTTGAGACACTAGTTGTCTTATGTTTTCTACTGAGCCTAGTAATAATCAGCAAAGACCCAAAAAAGTAATTTTTTTCCTTCCTTTCAGGTATTTTAATAGCCTATTAAAAATAATAGTGGCATGAAAAGTAAATCATCCTAGCTTTTCGGCGATATCTAAATTTTGGGTAATTGCCACTTCCAAAAAGTTCAGATGCCTTATGAAAGCAGTCCTTCTTGTTTGCAGTATCTGTCTTGTGTCTTAAGTGGACATGGGATCATAATTGGATATTGTATTAGAAATAGTGCCGGCCACTGGTCTCACTTCTTTGAATGTTACATTCTTCATTCATAAAATGAGGGAATTGGTTTGTTAAAATGGGAAATGACTCAATTGTCATCAGGATCCTGAGAGAGAGAGTTTGTTGCTCCATTCATAGCAGCATTTGGAATGACTAAAACAATTTTAAAACAGTTTGTTCCGATATTTGGCGCACATTTTGGAGTTACTTTTATTTGTATATGTTGATAGGTACTAGATTTTGGATTCTCAACAAGCCAATAGAATGGCATCAGTTATTCTTTCGTAGTGTTATGTTATTGTGTGTAATGTCCAAGTAGAGATACCTTAAAGTAATATGAAGGGTTTTATATATATATTAAAGTGTATGTGCCTGGAATTTTTGTGTTAACTTTAAAATTATATGGGCATTATTATCACTTTTCCATTGTACAAAAAGAAACATCCCACTAAATTCATAGGTGTTTGAATATTAGATATATTTGGGATTTTTTTGAGTGGCCCTTTTCTGCAAACTGTTTCTTATATCTGATCATTGTGAGTGGGGATAGATGTGGGATAAACCCCCCTGGGATTATTGCTTTTGTTAAACACAATTCATAGGGAAGTTTATGAAACACAATTTTAATTACCTGTGAGTTGAAATGTCATGGATTATAGTCATCTACATCAAATACGATGAAGATCTAAAATACTTTTATCCTTAGGATTGTCTGAGAATAATCAGATTGGACATGTCTGACATTCCCAGTTTACTATTTAAAATAAATCTAGCAATGAGTTGATACTGGGACCTCAGATACTATAGTTAGTGCTGAATGATGTGTTTGAGGGGAAATTGATTTTTTTTTAAGGGAAAAATCTTTACATTTTGGCTCTTTCTGTAGTCAAAAGGTTATTTTTCTTTTAGATTTTCAGTCTTTTTGCTGCAGCTGCCACTAATTTTGTGTTTAAAAGAACTAATGAGTAATGTATTTTTCAAAAGAGTGAATCAAATTAAAATTCAAGATTTTGAATTGTATAAATATGCAACTAAATTTTAATTCTGATATTGCTGATTTTTTTTTTTTTTTGCTATTTCTTAACATCTTTTATACATTACAGTGCTTAAAAAAGTTCCAATAGCTTTTAAAGAAAAGATTTCAGCTTTTACACAGTTTGTAAAGTATGCATAAATAATGCAAACAGTTTGAGATTATCTTAGGTTTACATTGTATCTCTGAATCATGGGTCTCATACTTGGCACAGTCAGTAGTCGTTGCAGATATTAAACCATTTGGAAATTTACCACTTGTTTCTGAGGTGCCGTTTTTAGTTTACAACCTTTAGAAACAAAACATAACTTTATAGACTGAACGTCAATATCCTAGTCACCTTGTCCCAAATATAATTAATGGAATTAGGATGTAAGTCATGTTAAGATGGTTTTATCAGTTTTTGGAAATTATGTGCTTTCACTTTTTATTTGAACTATAGTGAAACTTTGACTTTTTAACTGAAGTTGAAGTTTTAATTCTGCCCAGTTATTGACCAAATCATACCTAGATGTTTCTATATGTTTTTACTTATACAAGCCATTTCAGTTTGAATTGCCTTATTCTGTCTATTGCATTGTTCTTATGAAGTCTAAGTTTTGTCATGTTGGAATTCTTCTAACACTTAATCTGTGATGTAAAAATGTATGATGTGCTACAAATTTTATTCATAATAAACTAAGTTATAGCCTATTGTAATCTATAAAACATTTCTTGTAAATTGTCTAATTTATTTTTTCATTTATGTACAGTTTCTTATGTAAATTTTTAAAATATTTGTTATGGCCTGTTCTTTAACATTCCCATATTCTTTTCCTTAATGCTTATTTGCATGAAAAAAGTTAGGTTTTGCTTGTTTGTATTGTATGGCCATTAAGCCAACTTCAGTACTCTCTGCCTTTTCTGTAGTTTAATTTTTTCTGGTTTTATTCATATTCTAAATAAATGTTAAAATCTTGCTTTTTATGTCCTACTTTCCAAATAAATTCTGTAAGTTGTTTACTATGTGTATCTTATTGTTGTTTATTTTATATATTGTACTCCCACATTTCCACTATAATTATAAAATGTAAGGTTTTAACTGAAATTAACTAGAGTTGAATGTAAACTCTGAGAGCAAGGACTTTGTAAAGTCTTGTTCATCTCTATGTTCCCAGTACTTGGCACAGAGAAGGCAGTCAATAAATAAATACTTGTTAGGTGAATTAATTGTAGAGAAAGTGTCCTTATCTCGTTAGTCTGCCTATATAAGATAGAAGTAATCATAGTTTTTCCCCACCTTTCTCGCTCTAGCATTAGAAAGCACAAATGTTAGTTTTTCAGAGATGCAATCCTTCATGAAATTTAAGACTTAGACTTATTAACATATGAAAAGCTTTGCTTTTTCTTGAAATGAGGCCGTGTTATCCGACACTAGAAATGAATGTCAGCAACAGAGAAACTCTTAGATATGCTCCACAGGAGAGATGCCAGAACACGCGTGGTATTTTGGTATCACAGTTTGGGGTTATTTCATATGTGCTTCCTCTAAACCAAAACTTCATTTACTTGTTTTTGTTGACTTCAGTTTTAAAAACTTTGAAGATCTTTCTTAATACAAGAAGAAGTAAGTTAGAAAATTGACCTCTGTGTTTTCAAATTGTGTGATTATCTAGACTCCAGGCATCTAGCAATGGTTGAAAACATGAAGACTACCATGTAACTTGTGAAGTAAAAGTCCAGCAAGAGGGAACTAATATGAAAAAAGTGTGAGAAGAAGACTAAAAGAGAAAATTATGAGTTTGGTGTGGAAATACTAGATTTGAGGTGTAGTTTATCTCTCCAAGTATAGAAGTACTGTAAGCAATTGGAAGTAAGCTACTGAAGAGCAACAGTAGTTCAAGGCTACACACATAAGTATCTAAGTCCTTCATTCAAAATAAACTTATTCCAGGAGGGAAAGAAAGGGCTTATATTGGATCCTATACACAGCTGTATAAATTGTGAAAGCAAGATGTCTCTTCTATTGACATGTTCTTCAGTTGAGTGTATTGTGTATTGAGCAAACGTTAATAATTCTGCATCTAAAGTCTACCGATCGCTTCCTATGCCTAGCTTTATAAATTCCTATTTTAAGATATTTCTATGCTTCTGGTTTTTGAGGGTTTTTAAGTCTGTTTTCTAAAATAAACTTGGAAAACTTGACTCGTCTCTGGGGACTGTATTTCCTCCTTGACATAAAATATTGGTACTTTTAATGTTGTTTTCCCAGAGGTTACCAAGGCAACCCAAGAGTGTAGTTGACTGGACATTGAGGTAAATAAGTGCACATCTCCAGCCAGGGCTTTAAAAGTAACCTTTACAGATTTCCTAGAACACCTCGTCAGGTTTTCAGGACAGCTGTTAATACTTCAAAAAACGATTTCAGTGAATTTGTAACTACTACTGGTTTTTTGTTAACTTTTGGTTTTGGACCTGTTTATTTTTCATAATCAATTTTACTGAGATATGGTTTAAGTATAATAATATTTAATTGTACATTTAAGTAAGTTTGATAAATTTATACACCCATGTAATCACCACTCCCGATATTTCCATCATTCTCAAAAGTTCCCTTGGCCTCTAAGTCAGTCCCCTCCCATCCCCATCCCCTGGCAACCGCTGATCTGCTTTCTGTCACTAGATTCAATTTACCTTTTCTAGGGTTTGCATATAAGTGGGCTCATACAGTATGCACCCTTTTTCCCACCTCCCATTCCCCATCCCTCCCAGCTTTAGGCTTTCTAGAGCTACTACTTTCTGTCTATAGTTTTACCTGTAGTATGTACTCTTGTGTCTGACTGCTTTCTCTGGGCATAATGTTTTTTGAGGTTAATACATGTTGTGTGTATCAGTTCATTCCTTTGTACTGCTCAGTAATATTCCATTGGATGGATATACCACAATTTATCCATTCAAGTCTTTGGATGGACGTTTTTTTCTTCAGGGTAAAGAGGAGTGGAATTGCTGGGTTGTGTGGTAACTGTATGTTTAGTTCTATAAGAAACTAGAAAACTTCCAAAAAGGTTCTATTCACTCTGCATCTTTGTCAACACAGTGTTGACACATTTTTGTGTACGTGGTTGTATCTATCTGTGGTTTTAATTTGTATTTCCTTGATTACCGATGACATCGAGCATCTTTTCTGATGCTTATTTGTCTTTAATATATTTTCTTTTGTAAAGACTTCAAATCTTTTCCCCAATTTTGGTTGTCTGTCTTATTATCAGGTTGTAAGAGTTCTTTAGTTAGAAGTCCTTTGTTGGATATATGTTTAAATATTTTCTCCAAGTGTGTGGCTTGTCTTTTTATTTCCTTAAATTATCTTGAAGAACAGAGCTTTTTGTTTTGTTGAAGTCCATTTCTCATTTTTTCCCTTTATGGTTTACACTTTTTATGTCCTAAGAAATCTTTGCCTACCTAAGGTCATGAGTATTTTCTCCTGTTTTATTCTAGGCATTTTGTAGTTTTAGTTTTTATGTTTAGGTCTATGAATCCATGAGGTAAGGGTAGAGGGTTTTGTGGAGGATGTTGTTTTTTTATTTGCATATGGACATCTAGTTGTTGCAGCACCATGTGTCGAAAAGACTACCCTTAACTCCTTTGTGGTTGTGTGGGTCTGGGGATTGGAGGGAGACAGGCAGTACAAAGGATCAGGAGGAAACTTGTGGGAGTGGTGGATATGTTCATTGTTCATTATCTTGATTGTGGTGATGTTTCCACAGGTGTAGACCTA